GGGGGGGGGGGTCAGGATATTGGTCAGGATATTACTGAAAAACTACTTCAAAGCTACTTATAGGTAACTTTCTGGTAACTTTAAAGTACCATTCTGGTCAGACAAAAAGAAAGTTCTAAAAAATATTTTCCTGGATCCCCCCAAATGTTATGAAGGTAACATCTGGTTCCTTCTTACTGTATGCATAGTAGGGGATGAGCCCAACTATTCACATTTAACTATTCCCACCACTTGACTATATTTTGTCTTCTGCCACTTGGATTATTTCCACTGTAGCTTAGACGTAGCTCCAGTAGCTTGGAGTGCATAGCAATGTGGTGTTTTGTAACATCCCAGCTTTGGAAAGCTAAGACTGGTGAGAGCTTCATCATGATATTCTTTGCACGAGATACTTGAGAATGTTCCTGTATTGTTGGTCGTTCTTGTTCAAAAGAGGTGCACTGTACCATTGTCAATATTTAAATTGATGTGTAATTTCATTTGCAAGAACAATAATATTTAAAATCACACGGATGCATTTCTAGACTCATTTCTAGTCTCTAGTACTAGTATCTCTACACATTCTACACAGTCATTCCTTAAATTTGGCTGTTGAAATCATTAAGTAAATAGGAGGACACTCTTTGTATGGACAGCCAAAATGGTTGTAGGGTATATATATTTCTGGATGGAGGAAGTACTATATTTGTGGGGTTTCTACTAGTACTAGACTACCTACTAGTAGATGCACCAAGGGAAGGCAGATTCTTACTATGTTTATGGAGTGATTGCCTAGAAATACTCACACTTCATGAGATCTGCTGATGGACCCAAGTTGACTCCTGCAGCTGCCACAGTCTCATTGATATCACCATCAACAACAGCAGTAGCTAGTAGTATCATTCACTTCTAGTGCCCCTGCTGATACTGTGAGCCAAAATCCTCAAACAGCAATTGGGGCTTTGAGATATAACAATTGGCAAGAATTAGCATATTTCAAGTGAGGAATTCACTACCAATGAGCTGAATGAAGAAACTCTCTTTCTAGCAAAACAGTCAGGTAGTTCAGATTCATACGTTTATGTCTGATTTTCTTCCTTTCTAACTTGCTGTGTTGTCTATTAAATTTAAGAAGTCAATCTTTATTTTAAGCTAGTTGCCCTGTTCATAACTTTTCTGTCTCAGATTGCTTATCAACTACAAAGGGTTTGAACTTTTCTTTGCAATAAGTAGATACAGTACTTTGGAAACCGATGAGAATCTACTGGACAGATTTCCATGCCTTTTGCTCAAACACCCTCATTCTCTCTAATAAGTTTCTTCTTGTAACCTTTCTTCTTTTCAAAAATCGTTGACCCTTCAATTTAACTTTTTCTTGTTTCCGCATAGATCCAGTTGCTGTAAGCGGAATGTCGCCGTTTCTGTTTCTACTCTCGTGTAATTATGATTTCGTAAATATCTGATGGGACATTGTGGTCTCGATCAAATCCGGTTTGGCCCGTAAGAGCTCAAACATAGTCGTGGCGTATTCTTTTCTTCCCTTTCTCTGTGGATCTTTCTTGCTACTACTAATATACTTTGACGACTGCGAACATGAAAATTGTCCTTTCGTTTGAGATGCCTTGCCTCTACGTGTGTTCCCTCTTTGACTGGCTTGTCCCTTCCTAGAGGATGGAACTTGTAAATTTGAGTGCTTGCGAGTGGATTGTCGTCTGATCATGTAATTTCGGTTACTACTTGACGTGCATGCTGCCACCGCCATTAGCTCTTTTATTCGGCGCTGTTTCAGTAGCAACAGATTGTGTAAAAGGCTGTTTTCACTGCGTCCATTGAATCGGTTACCTGAGCTACGCTGCAATGATTGGGTCGGATTTGCATTCATAGTATGAGTTGCGCTAGCATTGCTTCTTTGGGGAGATTCGGAAGGATCCCCTCCACCAATCAAGCTTAAAACATGAGGATAAAGATTAATCGGAATAATTCCTTTGCTCCCGCTAAATAATGCCGGGGGATATGCCCTCAGTAACGTCTTCATCCCATCGTTCCAAGTTCGCTCTCCGGCGTGATCAGCCAAGACCAACGGCAAGCGGCCTGATCGCCCATGGGGTGTTTGTGCAGCATGTGGGTATTGCTTCAATAGGAGTCGTATGACTTTATCGAATGAAGCGATGCTACTATCTTCTTCTCCGTTATTTAAAGACATAGCGCTGAACAGGCTAACAATACTATCGGAAAACACTGACGAATCTTCTTCTGATACAGCATTGCCGCTCGACGTGTTAGATTTCAGGGAAGATGCTGAAGCAGCGATGTGCAGAGGCTATGCGAGACCAATAGGTGGATAAGGAGTGAGTTTAAAAAATAAAGTCAATATTCACAAGCAGGCTAAAAAAGAGACAATATGTAAGAGGGAAAAGTTTGCGTACCAGATTTCCATCTTCATCCATTTCCCTGACTTGATATGGGTAGATCGACATAGCTAAACGAATCATTTCGGGTGGACAACCGTATCCTGTCAAACCTACGGAAGCATGAACAATCCGAAATTGACGCTCATCATTGTCTGATGACTTCATTTCTACAAATTCATTGTCGGTACTAAAATCACTTCCTTCTTCTTTTACTCTGGAGTAGCAGGATAAGCGTTCCTTGCTCCAAGATGCAGCCAGTGACCATTGCTGCCCTAAAGATGAACAGTAATTGTGAGCTTCGTCTACGGAGTCAGAATCTCTTTTTCCTTGAAACTCTTTATTCCGCTGCTGTAGTTGTTGCTGGTTACATTCTTCTGACAAGCGCAMAACAATTAGTCGTGCCTTTCCCCATAGGTGGCCAAGATCGGTTTGTAGCGATGTGTGGCTTTGCGGACTCCTTGTTCCCGAGCTCTTCATTTGCTCCAATATTTCAATAACACGTTTTACTCGCTCACGATATCGACAAAATAGTAATCCAAGAGGAGTTTTTCCCGTGGTATCTTTCCACGTCACTATATTGGAGTTGTTCTTGTATAGACCATTATCGATACTATAGTCCTGTTCTTGATCAGTCGTGTTCATTTTTCCCATATCTGAAGAGGATGTAGATAGAGAATCCGAAGGTGAAGCAGCCATTGTACGTCGCGAGACGTTATCGGTGATCAAGAGAGAAATCTCTTCGTCATCTAACATCTCAGTTTTTTTTACGTTCTCGTTAGTTTCTTTGATAATGTCTATGAAAACGCTGACTTTCGAGTCGCACTCTGAATTTTCCTTCTCGCGATCATAGTGCAGGTGTTGCTCTTCTTTACGTCGGCGACTCTCTATCAGGGTCTCTTCCAGCAACACTCGAAAGGCTATCAAATCCAAACCTCTGTACGACATGCAGGCATAGTGAATCGGGGTCCTGTTCATTCTTGAAAGCCGGGAAAGGGATCCAGGGGAAAAGTCAATCAATTTCTTCAAGGCTTCAGCATTGCACCTATGGCTAGCGGCAACATGAAGTGGAGTTGCACCCCAAGAATTGGTCTGTGCAATTGCTTCTTTCAGAGAAATCACTATATTGACTGGGGGGTCGAGTTGACATGCAACGTGCAATGGTGTGTTGTCGTTGTCGTCAACCATTAAGATTTCTGAAGGGTGTGTTTTCGCTCTATGGATGACGGAATTCCAATCAGAAGATTTGACGTGCAAAAACAGGATACTCCTTGGGTTATAATCTGAAGTATTGCTCCTTGAAGAAGCTACACTATTTCCATTATAGCTTCGCCAAGAACCAAATGATGTGAAAACAGGATTGCCGCGAGGGTCGGAAATAATGTGCCTCATGATAAAAACGACACCAACGAACAGAGAGAAACGTATTTATAATAGTCTTTGAGCGCTTCTCGTTAACGTAATGGCGACACTACATGAATGTGAAGAAAGGCTGGATCCATCGCAAGATATGTAATATGCGGAATAAAATGATTCGGAGCGTTGTAAAGGGTCGCACTATTTGTTCTTTATTAGCGTTCTAATTTTCCATAATACTTCAATCAACATCTTCCCGAGAAAATACGTAGAAGTATTACCAACCGTACGTACCCGTATTCGTAATCGTTCTCGTACGGAGTGTCATGGAGTTCGTATTCAAAAGAAAGGAACGGAAGATATGACGTACTTGGAACGTCAGAGTAGTACTCGAATGTACTATCGTCCGTTGCAATAAGGGACGAGTAGAACACGGTGATTACTCTGACTTTCGTTCAGCCTAAAAAAAATCCTGGGGGTTATGTATCGACGTACTCGAACAAGTTTCAAGCGTGTCCCTTGTCCGTTCTAGCAACTAAATTGCACGATACCTGCCGTAGTCCTCGTAGTTAGTTGAGCAAAGCAGTAACAACAATCACTCCATCTACGTACACGTACGTATTGTACGCTACTCGAAGGGATAGATACCGTAGTTTCCAATCCAAAAAAAGAATTCCTAATTTTCAATCCCGTATCACCAGACGAGAATGAATCCCGGGAAATGGCTTGCGTGCGGGATTGAATTCATTACAAGTGCCTTCGGTACGCTACGTTCGCTCCAATCAAATCAACGAACGCACCGACACAAGTAATATCTTCTTCTAGTACGAGTGGTACGGGACGACACTATGCTATGACTAACGTAACTGAACAAAAAAATAATTACTGTTTTTACTACTTGTATTTTAGATTAGATTTGAGATGATTTTTTTTAAAGCTCGAACATTTTTCTGCTACAGAGATCGTGTTTTTTAAAAACAGCCCAAACTAGAGTCATTGTGAAACGTGTTGTTCGCGATGATTTCAATTGCCTCCAGTTTATGAAAGCTAGACGATGGGATGGTGCGAGTAACATACCATACAACGACAGGAATACTAATAGCGCTCCCTTTCTCCTCTCTGCCAAACGATTTCCAACGAAAATGGGAGGCATTGTTTCCACTCTAGCATTCCCATCCCCCGAAAAGGAATGGAGCAAAGCGGATCTCTTGCAACGCAAACGTTTGGACCAACTGGTTTTTTTGAAGACTCGATCCGGTTATAGGTAAGAAAAACGCTTGATTCGAAATATGTTACAATCTCGTATTTTTCCTCTCGCGTGGTACCTCAACGACCCGTCGTTTTTCTTGCAATTGATCTCGTTCCTTGGTGCGTGATATGCTTCAGAATTCCCGCTGTACATATTCGAAGGGACGACGAGACCAAATTTACCATCATATATTCGCATGGAAATGCGGAAGACGTCGGTTTATCACTTTCCTATTTAGATAATTTGAGCCGATGCTGTGACTGCAATGTATTGGCCTACGAATACTGTGGGTACAGCATTTCGGAAGGTGAAGCATCCGAGAAAAATTGCTACGAGTGCATCGATGCAGCGTATCGGTATCTTGTCGAGGGGAAACGAGAACCGTTCGAAGGAAATAAGAGGGTTTCTGCGCAGACATCTATCCCCGTGGATCCTTCCAGAATAGTTCTATTTGGAAGATCACTAGGAACTGGCCCAACAGTGGACCTAGCCGCGAGGTTGCTTTCCAGAACCGGCGAAAGCAGATGCATTGCCGGAGTTGTCTTACAATCACCATTGGTACGTACCGAAACAGAAGGGAATTTCCGTCAAAAAATTCGTGCATTATGTCATCCATTTAAAGCAATTTCCAACACTTGTGTCAAATTTCCGATTTGTTTGTTGTATATCGTTTGATCGGTCGTCGGTCTTTCATTCAATGTAGGAAAGCGCAGGACGATGCGTCTTGGGGGAATTTGCTTCATGCGCTCTGTATCCCTTGGATCTGTTTCGAAGCTATGAAAAGATCGAAAAACTTGCTCCCGTTCCTGTTTTTATAATGCACGGTGTCGATGATAAAGTAGTGCCCTGTGCGAGCGGTAGAGCTTTGTACACTTCTCTGACGAACGAGCGGAAACGACGCCAAGCATTAAAGAGGAAGAATACAACGAAAAACGATATCGAAGGCAAGCCGTCCGTGGAATATTCACCGAAGTGGATTGCGGGTGTAGGACACAATGACATGCCAGAATTTGAGTGTATGAATGACGTTGCAAAGTTCTTAAACTTTCTCGAACAGCGACGACGATGAAAGGATAGACTACGTATCTTCGTTTCTTTCAGTCGGTGGGACAAAGATATTTTGTGTACATGAGCAAATATTATTTTTTAAACTAAATTAAGCACGCAGTGCGAAATGATGAATGTTTTTAAAATACAATGAAATTTTATCTCCTATGTTACAATTGCCGCTTCTCTTGAGTGTATGAAAAGAAGTTATGAACCCTGGGCGGTCGTTAATTTTGCATTTCTGTGCGGGTGTTGACGATTGGTATCCCTCCGCAAAACAACCGTCTCAACAAGTGCTCACTCTACTAAAAGAGCACTTCGACTGTCGAATTTAATAATTGATATCTCTCGTTCTACCAACCCGTGGCCGCATAAGAATTAGGGTCTCGAACGTACCATGACGACGGAAGAGTGTCAGGAAAAATTAGTTGAACAAAGAGTACCCATGCGAGCCAAGCGCCCGAAACAACAACAGCGGAGTTTCTCCCGCGTCGTACCCACATCTTTTCTGCTTCAGCGTATTGGTTGTCTGTGTCAGGATGTGACGATGAAGCTAGAAAAAAAAGGAGAACATCGGTGATGTAAGATCCCCGAAGACAATACAGACAGATTATCATCGTTGTCGTCCCACTCGGCAAGTTTCATTCTTACATTCACTATTGTGTTCTTGTTCCTCACGCAAAATCCTTTGCGCCTCCAACTGTCGCTGCTTTCCGTGAAAATGCAATGCATGAACAATCCATAGCCAAGGAAGACCAAGCAATCCCCCATAATAGAACCGCTTACTAAGCTCGTCATCGCGGAGTCCCTCTGGGGGCGTGGATGGTTCTTCGGTAGGTGCAGAAGACATGTTTTTCTTACGTTTCTTATCTTATACTTCTATTTGTCGAATGGGTCGGAGTTAGAAAATATTTGCTGCGGGTGGTGCGAATAAGAAGGCATCAAACTTCTTGTATTGTCAAACGGTAGAATCATGGAATGTATTAGGCCGTCTCTCTCTCATGCTAATTCATCATGTAGCTCGCGCGCATCGTGAAGACTTGGTGTAGTGGGATGGTGCTTTTCTGTTTGAATGCGATCAAAAAACTGTTACTTGTGATGACCGTTGTTCATTTTCCTGCCGACGTGCTCGAGGATGGCGGGCGATCCCTGTACACTCGGGACTTACGTTCCGTACGATAGTACCGTACTGTTCTACTCGTATTGCACTCAATTAGTTTTCTGTACGTTACGTTAACTGAACAATATGTTGTATGACATACTCGTACTAGTAACGATAGCGGTATGTAGTCTGGACGGAGTTCTCATTATTTCGTAGTATCTTATCCTACCGGTACACGAATTAGATAAACCAGGGAATCTACGAGTACAGTACCTACGTACTTCGTACTGGAGTTCGTTTTTCTTCATAGAAGTAATCTGTGTACAGACGGTGGTACCTAGTATGTAACGTAGATGATTACTGTAATGAGTACTACTGTACTGAACTTCCTCAGATCAACAAGTACCACACAGCACTTCACTTGCGAACACGCCAGGTACGGTATGTACATTTACTTGTACAAGGAGTACGAGTCAGGGATGTCTTGCGAGTCATGCGCCAACTGATTATTGAGCAATGGCCGTCACTTCAACTGCAACAAAAGCCTACTATTAAGGAATTTTTCTCCAACTGGCAAGGCAACACAGAAAACATTTGTTTAAGCCTAGTAACGGTCTCGGCCTTTATTTATTATTCTCAGACCCTCGCATTGGAAATAAAAACTGATTCGAGCGGGTCGAGAATGAACTGTGATCGAGTATGGTGGCGTAGGAATACACTACTCGTGACTGGAAATTTCTGTCCGATTATGATTTGAAGAAAGAACACAACATGTGTGTGTGACTGGATAAAAAATAATGTCGTAATCAAATCAACGCACCGAGAGTAGGTCGTTCTGCCGTTCTCAAAAATCTGCACCAACCGAGCAATCGGAGGGCTATGCCTTCAAAAATGGTATGCTTTTGAATGCAACACAAGTGTCTGTCACCACACCTACGAGAAGAAATCAAACTTAAACAGTTACAGTTGTTTTAATAATTAATCATAATTATTCGACTAATAGTATGGCATCTTAGTCTTCATCATCCTTTGACCTTAGATCTAATGAATCGTCGTACAAGACACAGTCACGGCAGATTCTGATGATTGAAACAAATAATAGTACGTACGAACAAATCCCCAAAGAACAATACGCCTACTGCTTCTTGGTCTTCTTGGTGCTCTTCTTCTTAGGCGCTGCCTTCTTCTTGGCCTTGGTTGCCGTTGCCTTCTTGGCAGGGGTCTTCTTCTTGGTTGCCGCTACCTTCTTGGTGCTAGCCTTGGCAGATGCGGCCTTCTTCTTGGTCGTCGTGGTCTTCTTGGCAGGGGTCTTCTTCTTGGTTGCAGTTGCCTTCTTCTTGGCTGGCGCTGCCTTTTTGACAGGCTTCTTGGCCTTTGGCTTTGCAGTCATGGCCTTCTTGGCTTCAGGGGACAACTTGTACGATGCCTTCACCTTGACGAGGACTCCGTCGGTTACACCCTTCGCAAGCGCAGCTCTCATGACGTGCTTCGCAATTTCCTTCTGCAATAGAGTGCAACATGTGGGAAGGTGTACGTGAGTAATTGGAAATGGAATTGTAATACGGTAGGAGAGTCTGGGGCATCCGAAGGAGGTCAGTGTCGTCGCTGCCTACTGGATGTACGTAAAACTCCGTAGAAGTGTTGTGAAAGTTTAATCAGCCACAGCATCGACCCAAACCAACTGCAATATCTGCAACTTTGCAGTGACATTGCGGTGTTAGTTTGCTACTAGTATCTAGTAGTTTCATGGTCCAATTCAGTTTGGGTCCAGAGAAATCGACTTCACCATTTCGGAGGGAACGACGGAAAGTGTGCGGTTTTTGAAGTTCGGTGTTGCCAACCGAAAATTCAAAACTGTATAGAAAGAAGGGAAACCAAGCAACAGCTTTCGTTTTTTCACGCACCTTTTCGTTGGTTTTGATCCATTTGTTGAGTGCAATAAGAGAGGATCCGGTTCGATCGTTAAGGTCGAGGAGGGCCTTTTTGATAATGGCAATGGTCGTCATGTTTTGATGTTGTTCAGAAAGAAAAAAAAAATTGTGTTTGTGCGTATTTTGTGCGCGTTGTGCAAATTGTGGCAACTAATGTAAAAATCTGTTCATAGTCTGCTTCAGAGAGAATTGTAAATTGTGAAAGTGATTGCAACTTGGACTCGCGCCAGGGATTTTCTGGGTCATAAAAAAAGGTTCCAAAAATACCTCTGTAGGACCCAGTATCATCATTACGTAGAGAAAAAGGGGAAAAACGCGGTTCGCTCGCGAGCCAGCACGGCCAACTGCACCCACTCCAAAAACCGGCGCGGTCTGCAGTTAGCTGACTTCTAGTACGTACGAGTACTACCGTATTTATTTTTTCTTATCCGACTTGGTCAATCACTCTGTATCTCATAATCTATCGAAAAGATAAAAGATGAACTATTGGTAGTACTCGTACGAGTACTCGTTCTACGATCTGAATAATTACGTGACTGTACATACCGAACGGAATACAGAATAACTAGTAAAGTACAGTACTACAGTACGTATCGTAGGGTACGGTGGTTATTAGTATCCCCCGGTATGGATGAGGTCGGCTGGGTATTGTGCATCGCAGCGCAATACGGTATCAATATTATTATGATTGGATCTGATTGGCTCATGAGAGTGAGGAGAAGAAGAGTAATATCGGTCGTAACGAAGGGTGCGTCACTCTCTGTCAGTTCATATCAACTACCAGTACAAGAAGTACTAGCTACCTATGCTAGTAGTAGTAGTAGTACTAGTACTAGTACAATCAAACAATTATTTTATCACTATTTTTTTAGTTTGTTGTTCCTCGTCGTTCCCTGACTTTCTATGCATTCTAATACTAGTACTAAAACTAGTAGTAGTGCTAACAAACCAACAAAATCTTGAAGAATTTAATCATACCAGTAGTACTACTAGTGGTAATTGTAGTAGTAGTCCACCATATTACTGCTACTATTACTAGTACTACTAGTAGTAGCAGCAGTTTAATGATTTTAGCAGTACATTCTTGTTAGTAGTGGGGGTCAACCAGCAGGATACTGAGTGAAACAGATAGTAGTACGAGTTATCATCAGTTTGAAGATTTTTCAATTTCAAGTTTGGTTTTTCTATGCTCGGATACTACTAGTACTAGTAGTATTTTTATGGGTTGAACAAGGCTGAAGGTCAATGCAAACCTGCTCATTAGTACAATTTGGAGAATTACAAAAGCTGGTGGTGGTATGATGTTTCAATGATGAAAGTAGTTAAAGATGTAACCTCATAAAGAACTAGAAGAGGCACTATGAAGACCAGAATCATCATTTCTGAGGAGAAGGATGATTGTCCTAGTTGCTCTAGCAAGGAAGGGCAGCACCTCTGACCAGGCACAATCATATAATAGAACAAAATACAACAGAGAACTAGGTTGGGCTGGTAATAATTAAAGTGTTGTGTTGTGTTGTGTTGTGTTGTGTTGTGTTGTGTTGTGTTGTGTTGTGTTGTGTTGTGTTGTGTTGTGTTGTGTTGTGTTGTGTTGTGTTNGTTGTGTTGTGTTGTGTTGTGTTGTGTTGTGTTGTGTTGTGTTGTGTTGTGTTGTGTTGTGTTGTGTTGTGTTGTGTTGTGTTGTGTTGTGTTGTAGTACCTAGGTGGGTAGGTTCTGGAAGTAGTGTCCTCAAGGGTGGCCTGAGAATTGCCTCAACAGTTCTGGGGTCAGAGGGAAAACAAGTAGCAAATTTTCTTTGTTAGCCATGCTCTCTACAATGCCTGCTTCTGACAAACAGTATGCCCACAAAGACCCTGATTAATTTGTGTGAATTCAAAAAACACTCAGTCAAAGAGGCTCCGAGTGCCACCACTACTGGTAAATAGTAGGAACAAGAAGAATTAAGATCTGGATAATGTAAATAGTATTTTGTGCTTGACATTTGAAGTACTTGGTGAAATAAAAGTAGTACTACTAGTTTGAATCATAGGCACTCATGCATCAAGATTTCATGTGATTCAGGTAAAAAATTAAAAAATCACTGATGATTGGGAAATGAGAGAAGATTTTTTCATTAAATATGCATGCTAACATGATTCAGATGAAATTGTAACATAGAAATTGTGCATTGGTACAACAGCAAGAAGTTTGGATTGACTAATTTTCTGACATGTGCTAAGTAGAATCATGGACTCACTAGCCAATTTTGGCTTGAGTTTTTTGTTGCAATGCCATTGCCCAAGAAATTGATGGCAATGGTTTGAATGGAATATCACTTCTAATAATTTGGACAATGCCAAAATTAATGGAGTCACCACTTTTGAAAATATTGGCTATACTGTTTACGGTTTTTTCAGTGAGACATGTACTACTGATAGTATTTATTATACTGACAAGCTTTGATGTTAGTTTGCTCTAATCCCATTGTTGTTTAATGGTATTTACTCAGAAGAACAATACAGGAAAATGACTTGTGATTCGTGAAAGAGAATCAACAACTCCTCCATAGAAGTATTGAAACTAATGTGAGGTGCTAATAAAAAAAATAATTTTTTAAACTCAGGTAGCTAGTAGTAGTACATCATATGACAGGAGTATATGGCCCTCAATACTCCCCAACAATTTGCTAATTTTTCATTTGCTACTACTATTGGAAGTACCTCCATTCAAAAATAATGGTACAGTTTGTCATACTCTATTTTTTAGAAAATAAGGGTAGCGGAGTACTTACTATGAAATAGTTTTTTGAGTTTGAAGTAATGGTAACAAGCACCTCTTTTGAATGAAAATGACCAATATGAAAGATCTCCTTATTCATAAGAATAATGGCCTCAAAAAATACTTCATCTTGGCTTTCAATTGTTGCAAGGCTGGTTATTGAATGGCTGGTAGAACCCTTTCAACCCATAAAATGAAATCCATGTACTTACAGCATTATCTCTGTTTGAAGGCTTATTCCAATCTTATGCTGCTTTGTATAAGAAAATTACAATAGCAGGAGTGCTCTGCAGCACAAAAATGATTCTATGAAGTACAAAAAGAAGCATTCTAGTAATCACCCAATAATTGAGCTATTTCTTCACCAGTAGTAAAGATGCAAAGTGGACACTGATTCTGGACTAGATGAAGTACTTAATATGATTATATAAATCTACACTATTAAAATACAGCCGGAATGCAATAACACCAACCCCAGCCCCCAGTATTCAACCAAGACCTTTCCTTTGAAGAACAACGCCTGGAGTATATGCTACATCATACTCAGTTTCAAAGAAGATTCCMCAGCATCTCCATGCAGTTCCAGTATTTTACGGACCAGACGCGTTTTCCGGTCAGGTTGTTGTTGGTTCCGACATTCGTGCCGGAAATCAACGACACCAACCMCAGTGTCTCCAGCTGGTGAGTACTTTGCCTCAACTGGATCCTTCCCCAGTTCTCAAGGACTGGAAGCCCCAGTGCTATCCAGTCACAATTGCTGTTGTTTCCAACCTCTGTGCCAGAAAGCAACAGCACCATTGTTGTTGTTCCTGTTATGTGGACAGAAACAGCAACACCCCCAGTGTTTGACCTTGTGACCAGCGGTTACAGAGTTCGCAGAGTTAGAGGATTTATTATCAGTGTCTTCTTTGAGAAGACATTCATGCAGCTGCTCCTTTGGTTGGGCTCAGCTGTAATTTGGTGAAAGAAGTGTGACGTTTCCTTTTTTCTTTTTTTTTTTGGCTTTTCTTTTTTTTTATTTTTTCTTTTTGACTACATGTGTCCTCGCACACTGGGGCGTGACTGGCCTTAATTGGCTTGCCAGTGTGCTTGACACCCATCTCCTTGATCACTGCGTGTGATAACTTGCCTACAGGTTGGGAATTGAGACCCCCCAACCTACGAGCTTGGCAGTGCTCCTTTGAAATGGTAATGGCATGGTTCTCATCCATCCAAACTGTGAACCAACATCTCCTTGATCACTGCATCTGGAAACTTGCCTACGGGTTGGGGATTGAAGCCCCCCATCCTACGGGCTTGGCAGTGTGACCCTTTTGTTTTATGTCCTCTGAGTCTAGCCTTGGGCCGTCACTGGCCTATCAGTGTGCATAGAACTTGGTTGCTCCTCCACAAAAACTCCTCGGAGGGAGGCACCGCCCCTCGGTGCAGCTAGAAGCATTCTTTCTAACGAAAGCAATGGTTCTGGCCATCCTAGTGCCTCTTCTAGTTCACGAGGTTAAATATAATTTTAAGATTATTTTTATTAAAATACATGAGTCTAACAAAAACAAATCAATGAATTGCATCAATATTGATCTTACTAATCCTACACAGCAAGAAGTTTAAACTGTACCATTATGTTGGCTCAGAGATAGTATGAACCTAATACTAGTAGCACATGATGTGAATTTTTAACCTTAGCTTTCACATAATGACTTTATGAGTCTTATCTTTCATTGATGTTATTCATTGCATAGAACGAGCACAGGTGAAAGAAGTAATTACTGTCCATTGGAAATCCATTTCTTCTTTAGTCACATTAAATGAACACAATTCTTGATAATGATGCCCACCATGTAATAACAAATAAACAGCCTCAAAAGTACAGTCTGAAAATAGTTTTGCTTGTCAGTTTTATCTGTTTGGTGGGTTTATGAGTTATGAACAACTCATGTAACTCCCACTGGAGTGTCTGCTTACACCCTTCTCTGTACTCAGTAGGAGGATCATGGTTCTGGTCATCCTACAAGAGCCTCAATTTGTCCATGAGGCTGAACACTAAAATTTTGAATTTCATGAACAATAACTGGTGATACAGTTGAGCTAGTGGTGGAATGTGGGCAGATTGGTAGATGTACTAATAAAAAGAATATGTGAAAGTTGAGTAACAAAATGGGTGAGTCTGTGATTCCTGTTCTTCTACATTTTATTTAAAAAAAAAATATTCTCAAACTAGTGTGATAAATATTTTTTTGACATAGTATCTCAAAATACTGTGATATATATTTCCTTGATCATCAAAGGATTTGTTTGTCAGTCCTTTGAGTATCAAAGCTTTGTCTTGTTGATGTTACTACCTTGTGTATGTGCACATTTTCTTGCCAGTCCCTTGCACATC